ACAAAACTCTGAAGAAAAAACAAACGAGTCCACTCCACATCCGCATGGCCTTAAGGAGCCACAAAGCTAATGCTTGTATTTAGGTTGAGCTTGATTAGGCGGCGCGGTGTCATGAGCCTGTCATGTATATATATTGATGGCAGAAATCAGGATCCATTATATAAGATAGGGAAAAATTTGCAAAGTAGGAATTGTATCAAACCTGATGATATGGAGGGATAAATGGCATATTTTGCTGAGGCATCATCATTGGGATTCCTGGCGGGTAATAGCCCCAAGGAGACATCACTGGTTGCTGTGCTCCATAATATGGTGGCATGTAACCCGAAAACTCTGTGTATGCCATCGACATCACCTAGACCACACATAAATATATATATATTTACTTATTTGTATTGTTAAAGGATATGCCTTTTAATAACCAGAGTTTTAATAACGAGAGAATATGCATGTGTGAGTTGTAGAAGAAAAAAAAATTAGAGCTTATTTACATCTAGCTGATGTTTCAAGCTTTTAATGTATTCTACGATGCTTTCAAGCTTCGTTGCAAGGTCCGACTGTAGATAAACACACAAGGACGAGCCGTTAGAGACTCGATATGGTATTCGACTCTACGATTTATGTATGTAAATAGATTAAGTATTTAACCTTTGAGCAATTAGGCGTCAGCTCTTGCAATATATCTACTTTATCTTTAATAAGCTGTCGTCTTCTCTGCAAAGATTGAAAGCAAAAAAAGATGAAAAATAAACATCTTTTTAGCTTGAAGAATACGACACATAAGAAGAAAAGATCCTAACCTTCTCCATCATCACACGATAATCCATGGAACGTGGTCGTTTAACCGCTCGGTTACTCTTGTTGCAATGATCCCCTGTGTCTTTATCCGCCTCGAGTGTCTTGGTAACCTCCTTAGGCTCAGAAAAGACAGGCCTTGAAGTCGACTTAGCTCCGAATATCTCTTGCAAAGGATTTAGTTCATCATGATCTTGTGCACAAAACGAAGAAAACATCTCGGACAATGAAGATAGCTCTTCATGATGAGTAGTACACTGGTTTTGGTTGTTTATCTCCATTGATGATTATCAATTAAACTTGGTTCTTTTTTTTTTTTAGTTTGTGAGAGATTGAAGAGAACAAAAGCTATATATAGGGAAGATCTAAGAAGCTGCTTTTGAAAGCTGCATTAATTGAGCGGGAAGAAAACAGATGATTTTACTTCATCCCATGGTTTTCGTCTCTATTATTCATGCTATATTACAAATTATTTAATCTTCTATAAGTTTTATTATTATATGTTTTTTTGTATTCTATATTTTACACATGCAGAAGAAAACATTAATTGTTGTTGTTTTCTTCCATTTGCTTTCCCACTCTTTCTTGAAATTCTAAGCACCAAAATTTTTTAATAATTTTTTAGTGTGTGTTTTTTTTTTTCATCCTGATGCTACCTATGGTTGCAACAAATTGTATTGAAAGTGGAAATTGGGAATCATGGACCGTTTATTAATGTATATACTAGCTAGTGCACTTGATGCTCCATAATATGCATACAAAATACTTTTAGCCTAATTCAAAAACATAAAGATGAGAGCAAGACATAAAAAGAAGGAGTTGATTGATGGTAGTTTAAAGCTTCTCACAAATCCATACTAAATTTAATAGTTCAAATTAATTCATTAACAAATTCAAAAACGATAGCATATTAAGGTTACTGGAACAAAGTAGATGTGTTTTTACGTGGAACACTTTTTCCATTAACATTTTATAGACGAAATATAAAATATTAACTGATTTGGTGAAGATAATGCAAATAACTTAAAGACAAATAACAAGTAGTTCTGTTTTCAATTCAAAACAAAATTTTACACTAAATTATTTGAACAAAATATAAATACAGAGAAATATTTGGTAAAATAAGAAAAAAAGTAAAAATGACGTAATCCAATATATATGAAGAGTCTTATCAGTTGATTTGATCCAAGATATGTGGAGATTTGTTTTCTTTGTTTTTATTTCAGTTACAATTTTACAACAAAAATATAAAATTTATCATTTAAAAATATTAATTAGAGAAAAAGAACAGAATAACTACTTTGAAATATTTTTGTTTCTTAAGGCTAAAAAAGAATTTTTATATTAATCTAAAAAAAAAATCAAACAAGTTTATGTGTTTCAAGTAAAAATATCTAGAGATAAACAAAACAATATATAAAAAATCACGTACTCCAATATATACAGAGAGCCTTATCAGTTGATTTGATCCAAGATATGTGGAGAATTGTTTTTTTGTCTTTATTTCAATAATATAAATTTGCTTAAAATTTCAATTAAATTTTGACAGTGAAAAGTTCTAAATAAAAAAAAAAATCATTTAAAGATCCTTAAAAGTAAATTATGTGTGTTGAAATGACTAATTATGGTAAGAACTTACGATGTACTATCACAAATTATTTACTCTTCTATTAATTATATGTTTTTTTGTATTCTATATTTTACACATGCAGAAGAAAACATTATTTGTTGTTGTTTTCTTCCATTTGCCTTCTCACTCTTTCTTGAAATTCTAAGCACCAAACTTCAAAACAAAATTTTACATTAGATTATTTGAACAAAACATAAATTACATAGAAATATTTGGT